TCCACACCAACAACAACTTCTCAACATCTTTGATTGTTTGCAATCTCTGTTTTGTTAGCACATTTACCCCTTTCGCAACATCAGCTTCCTTGATTTCTTTTTTCTTTGCCAGGATGGAACTGATCGTTGATGCAGACTTCCCGTACATCCTGGCAAGATCGGCCACACGTACACCACTTTCGTACTTTGTTACGCGTTCTTTCTTGAATTGTATCGTTTCTCGCCTTCTTTATCAAAGGGCTAGTACTTGGAACTTTCTTTGGCCCAATGGTGGCTTATTTAGCAGTTACTCTCAATAAACAAGCACGAAAAACAATGAATTATTACAAGATGTTTTGGATGAATGCGCGGGAATCAACGAGAAACAAAGGCAGACTAAGTCACGAACGCATGGGATGCTTTGTGTGGGCACTTGAGTGGCTGAGTCACATGGGCAGGTGGATGAGTTTGGTACAGACCATTTTTAACTCTACGAAAACCGAACGGATGTACAAAAACTGGGACAAAATTTTGACGAAAAAAGTCGTCGAAAACCGAATCCTATGAAAACTAGGGCATATGAAAACCGAGGTTCCACCGTAAATACTTTTTATAACAAATATAAAGAGCTGACATGTTTGCTAACATGAGTTATCAAGTTTACAATATTACATAGTTAATGTATATTCAGTATCCTTAAGAAACTTGGCAAACTACAATAGTATTAATTTTGAATATAGCTTACAATATCTGATATGAATTCATTTATTACAAGTCTGATACACAAGTTTTACTGATAGCAAGTTCATCATTACACATTGCTGACCTGGGATATAGTATTAGGTTAGAAATACAGTCATTCTCCTTCCTTTCCTGCAGCTTTACCTGCTAGATTCTGTCTTGAGCTTTGACCTGGTTGATGCCACTAGTGTGTATAACATGGTAAGGCTATTTTTTCTAGCCCTTCCAGGCCTCTGTTGCCCAGCTTCATGTATTAGGCCTTGCAAAGTTGTTTTCACCTTCCCCCATTTTTTTTTTTTTTTTGTAAATGCACTCCGTAGTTGTCTCCCACCAAGGCAGGGTGAGCTGTGAAGTAAAAATCAAGTTTTTCTTCATAGCAAAAGTTTTTTTTTTTTTTTATTTTCAACAAGTCGGTCGTCTCCCACCGAGGCAGGGTGACCCAAAAAAGAAAGAAAATCCCCAAAAAGAAAATACTTTCATCATCATTCAACACTTTCACCACACTCACACATTATCACTGCTTTTGCAGAGGTGCTCAGAATACAACAGTTTAGAAGCATATACGTATAAAGATACACAACATATCCCTCCAAACTGCCAATATCCCAAACCACTCCTTTTAAGTGCAGGCATTGTACTTCCCATTTCCAGGACTCAAGTCCGACTATATGAAAATAACCGGTTTCCCTGAATCCCTTCACTAAATATTACCCTGCTCACACTCCAACAGATCGTCAGGTCCCAAGTATCATTCGTCTCCATTCACTCCTATCTAACACGCTCATGCACGCTTGCTGGAAGTCCAAGCCCCTCGCCCACAAAACCTCCTTTACCCCCTCTTTCCAACCCTTTCAAGGACGACCCCTACCCCTCTTTCCTTCCCTATAGATTTATATGCTTTCCATGTCATTCTACTTTGATCCATTCTCTCTAAATGACCAAACCACCTCAACAACCCCTCTTCTGCCCTCTGACTAATGCTTTTATTAACTCCACACCTTCTCCTAATTTCCACACTCCGAATTTTCTGCATAATATTTACACCACACATTGCCCTTAGACAGGACATCTCCACTGCCTCCAACCGTCTCCTCGCTGCTGCATTTACCACCCAAGCTTCACATCCATATAAGACTGTTGGTACTACTATACTTTCATACATTCCCTTCTTTGCCTCCATAGATAACGTTTTTTGACTCCACATATACCTCAACGCACCACTCACCTTTTTTCCCTCATCAATTCTATGATTAACCTCATCCTTCATAAATCCATCCGCCGACACGTCAACTCCCAAGTATCTGAAAACATTCACTTCTTCCATACTCCTCCTCCCCAATTTGATATCCAATTTTTCTTTATCTAAATCATTTGATACCCTCATCACCTTACTCTTTTCTATGTTCACTTTCAACTTTCTACCTTTACACACATTCTCAAACTCATCCACTAACCTTTGCAATTTTTCTTTAGAATCTCCCATAAGCACAGTATCATCAGCAAAAAGTAACTGTGTCAATTCCCATTTTGAATTTGATTCCCCATAATTTAATCCCACCCCTCTCCCGAACACCCTAGCATTTACTTCTTTTACAACCCCATCTATAAATATATTAAACAACCATGGTGACATTACACATCCCTGTCTAAGACCTACTTTTACCGGGAAGTATTCTCCCTCTCTTCTTCACACCCTAACCTGAGCCTCACTATCCTCATAAAAGCTCTTTACAGCATTTAGTAACTTACCACCTATTCAATAAACTTGCAACATCTGCCACATTGCTCCTCTATCCACTCTATCATATGCCTTTTCTAAATCCATAAATGCAATAAAAACTTCCCTACCTTTATCTAAATACTGTTCACATATATGCTTCAATGTAAACACTTGATCTACACATCCCCTACCCACTCTGAAGCCTCCTTGCTCATCCGCAATTCTACATTCTGTCTTACCTCTAATTCTTTCAATTATAACCCTACCGTATACTTTTCCTGGTATACTCAGTAAACTTATTCCTCTATAATTTTTACAATCTCTTTTGTCCCCTTTGCCTTTATATAAAGGGACTATACATGCTCTCCGCCAATCCCTAGGTACCTTCCCTTCTTTCATACATTTATTAAACAAAAGTACCAACCACTCCAACACTATATCCCCCCTGCTTTTAACATTTCTGTCATGATCCCATCAGTTCCAGCTGCTTTACCCCCTTTCATTCTACGTAATGCCTCACGTACCTCCACCACACTTGCATTCTGCTCTTCTTCACTCCTAAAAGATGTTATACCTCCCTGGCCAGTGCTTGAAATTACCGCCTCCCTTTCTTCCTCAACATTTAAAAGTTCCTCAAAATATTCTCGCCATCTACCTAATACCTCCCTCTCCCCATCTACTAACTCCCCTACTCTGTTTTTAACTGACAAATCCATACTTTCCCTAGGCTTTCTTAACTTGTTTAACTCCAAAATTTTTTCTTATTTTCATTAAAATTTCTTGACAGTGCCTCTCCCACTCTTTCATCTGCTCTCCTTTTGCATTCTCTCACCACTCTCTTCACCTTTCTTTTACTCTCCATATACTCTGCTCTTCTTATAACACTTCTGCTTTGTAAAAACCTCTCGTAAGCTACCTTTTTCTCTTTTATCACACCCTTTACTTCATCATTCCACCAATCACTCCTCTTTCCTCCTGCCCCCACCCTCCTATAACCACAAACTTCTGCCCCACATTCTAATACTGCATTTTTAAAATTCCAACCCTCTTCAACCCCCCCACTACTCATCTTCGCACTAGCCCACCTTTCTGCCGATAGTCGCTTATATCTCGCCCGAACTTCCTCCTCCCTTAGTTTATACACTTTCATCTCCCTCTTACTTGTTGTTGCCACCTTCCTCTTTTCCCATCTACCTCTTACTCTAACTGTAGCTACAACTAAATAATGATCTGATATATCAGTTGCCCCTCTATAAACATGTACATCCTGGAGCCTACCCATCAACCTTTTATCCACCAATACATAATCTAACAAACTACTTTCATTACGTGCTACATCATACCTTGTATATTTATTTATCCTCTTTTTCATGAAATATGTATTACTTATTACCAAATTTCTTTCTACACATAGCTCAATTAAAGGCTCCCCATTTACATTTACCCCTGGCACCCCAAATTTACCTACTACTCCCTCCATAACATTTTTACCCACTTCAGCATTGAAATCCCCAACCACCATTACTCTCACACTTGATTCAAAACTCCCCATGCATTCACTCAACATTTCCCAGAATCTCTCTCTCTCCTCTACACTTCTCTCTTCTCCAGGTGCATACACGCTTACTATAACCCACTTTTCACATCCAATCTTTATTTTACTCCACATAATCCTTGAATTTATGCATTTGTAGTCCCTCTTTTCCTGCCATAGCTTATCCTTCAACATTATTGCTACTCCTTCTTTAGCTCTAACTCTCTTTGAAACCCCTGACCTAATCCCATTTATTCCTCTCCATTGAAACTCTCCCACCCCTTTCAGCTTTGTTTCACTTAATTAAAGCCAGGACATCCAGTTTCGTCTCATTCATAACATCCACAATCATCTCTTTCTTATCATTTGCACAACATCCACGCACATTCAGACTTCCCACTTTGACAATTTTCTTCTTCTTATTCTTTTTAGTAATCTTTACAGGAAAAGGGGTTACTAGCCCATTGTTCCCGGCATTTTAGTTGACTTTTACAACACGCATGGCTTACGGAGGAAAGATTCTTATTCCACTTCCCCATGGATATAAAAGGAAAAGTAATAAGACCAAGAACTGTTAAGATAAAATCAAAGAAAACTCAGATGAGTGTGTATAAATAAACGTGTACATGTATGTGTAGTGTGACCTAAGTGTAATTTATACAGGAGAAGGGGTTACTGGCCCCTTCTTCCTGGCATTTTTAGTCACCTTGCCTTCCCTGTTATACCATATTAATTTTGATTCTTCAGATTTTAAGTTTTTAACATGATTTAGTTCTAACTACAGTATTTTTACCCTGCCATTTTAAATAATAACTATTGTTCAGTCCATTAACAGTTCCTAATAAGATGCAGTAATTTAACTTTTAATGGGTCAATGTTTTCATTTAGTATTCTTATATTCATTTTGAGTTTTACTTTTATCGTAAAATAAATTGGTAAAGGTCATAGACTAAGTGGCCATGGTGGTTTGTGATACCTCTGCCATGGGATAAACTAGCAAAAAACTAAATTATTTTGAAATTTCAGAGTAAAAAGATGATGTCTCATGAGGAGCATCATCAGCCAGAAGAGGAAGATGGAGATGATGAAGAGGGTGATATGGAGGCGAGGACAGCTGTGGAGGCACTCCTTGCTCTCACCTCACCAACAGATTATACACACCACACAGGTATCTAACATTCACAGGTTTACATATAAACTAAACCCTTGACATATCTGACCAGTAGGAGGGAGTGGGTAGCTGGTAATGGCACATGTGGTGGATAGAGCACAGGTGATTTTGCCATGATAGTAACAATAACAGACATTTTTGTAAGCAACACCTCATAAAGGAGGTTCGTTGATGCTAATGAGGGGCTCTTGATCTCAGGAATTGGACCTGTGCTTCAATTCCTTGACTTGAGCCTGAATTCCTTCTATTTCCTCAGTTGCTTTATGACTCCTATTGGTTATTGTGCTCTTCACCCTTACTTCCCCTCATGAATGTAATGCATTGTTTGTAACCAATGACCTTTGTTGCTTCCAAATCGATTGAATTGATGACTTTTGTTCTGTATCTGAAGTTAGCTATATAGAGGTCCATTATATCGAGGGCTTACTGTACTTTGTAAGATTGTAAGTCTTGCAGTCAATCAGTGATCCAAGGAATTGAAGTTTCCCATCCTTAAATTGAACTTGACTTTCTCCTATTTTCTAGACACTGTCTGACCCTTACAAGTTTTACACCACCTCATGATATTACTATTATTAAAGTGAAAACTGTGTATCATGTAGCGCTAAATTGTCATCGTCATTGTCAGCATCACTGTCTCTGACATGTATTTTTCAGAGGAAAGTTATGTTCCATATTTTCCTGCACATAAGGCACATGAGCATATAACTCTCACCCCAATTTTGGCAGGCATATTCTGGGAGAGGGGGATGTAGGAATGTAGTACATGATAGGCCTAGTGAGTTGAAGATGAGCAGTGTGTTGATAGTGGTAAACCAACACCACTAACACATGCCTGATCACTTCTAATGATGGTGGTAAATCAGTAATCATTCATCCTTAGACACACATGAATACTGTGTTGTATGTTACTTCATGCTACTCTTATTGAAACAAATATTCCATTGCAAATTAGAGTTTTATAGAGAAAATTTGCCTTATCCAACAAGCCCCTGCTTGCACAACCTGTCATCTGTTCCTCTGTTACCACCCACCAAAATAAGCATGGCTACCTGTTGTCTACAGATGGTACTAGTAATATGTAAATTATAATTTATAATAGTTACTAATTACTCTTTAAATAATATGGGAAAGAGTTTTGTAGGGGGTTGTTTGGAATTCAATTTGTTGGTACTGCAGCACTGAAACTGCTACTTCCCAGTAGCCCAAAGTCTACTATTGTTCCTTTCAGGATGATTTTCTGGGACTTTTATGGGGAAAACATGCTTTATGTGCCAGAAAATACAGTAGTTCCTTTGCATAGTTCCTTTATATAAAGGCAAAGGGGACAAAAGAGAGTGTAAAAATTATAGGGGAATAAAACTGTTTAGTATACCTGGTAAAGTGTATGCTAGAGTTATTATTGATAGAATTATGAGTAAGATGGAGAGCAGGGTAGCAGATGAATAAGGAGGCTTTAAGAAAGGTAGGGGGTGTGTAGACCAAGTGTTTGCAGTGAAACACATATGTGAACAGTATTCAGATAAGGGTAAAGAGGTTTTTATGGCATTTATGGATTTGCAAAGGGTGGATAGAGGGGCAATATGGCAGATGTTGCAAATGTATGGAATAGGAGGTAGGTTATTGAAAGTGGTGAAAAGTTTTTATGAGGATAGTGAGGCTCAGGTTAGAGTATGTAGGCGAGAGGGGGATTTTTTCCCAGTAAAAGTAGGCCTTAGACAGGGATGTGTGATGTCACCATGGTTGTTAAACATATTTATGATGGAGTAGTAAGAGAAGTGAATGCTCAGGTGTTGGCAAGAATTGTGGGGTTAACCCTTTGAGGGTCGAGAGGCCCTCTCCGAAACTCGTTCTCAGGGTCGGCCAAATTTAAAAAAAAAAAAAATTATTTTCTCTTATGAAAAGATAGAGAATCTTTTCCCGATCATAAAGACACCAAAAGTTTGAAATTTGATAGAAAACTTACGGAATTATGCTCTCGCAAAGTTAGCGGTCTCGGCGATGTTTACGCATCGGCGATTTTGCCCACTTTGAGCCCCATTTTCGGCCAATTTCACTGTACTAGTCGACAAAAAACATGAATATTTCGCTAGAACTCCATTTTTTCTATCGAATGGGTGCAAGAAACCACTCATTTATGAAATCCAACTATCCAGTACAGTGGTCAGAATTTAGCAATTTTGCCAATTTCACACAAATTTCAAAAGATGCCAATTTCCGAATAGGGTCCAGAATAAACAAGAAAGACATTCCTGCACTAAAATGACATTTCCTTTAGTCATTAGTCATGTCTCAAGGCCCCTCTTATATTCTTTTGCTTTCCACTTTGAATTTTTATTTTCACAAAAAATATAAGATTTACTGTTATGCAGACTACTGCATTAGTGTAAAAAATGGTATAAATATTATTGGTGCACTTGTGAAAGAATATTAGACTCACCAGTTGACGTGTATTGCACGCTTGCACGATTTGTTTACTTTTGAAGTTTGGTAAAAATCGAACATTTCTGCTACTTTGAGCTCAATTTCAAGGCACCTTTCTTTGTAAAACCAGTCAAAATCATCTCAATTTCTGTAATATGTCTTCCATTCTATAAAATGAGACCAAGAAAACTAGAATACAACAATAAATACCATACGAAAATACACTGCAAAGTCGCTGATTTATTAAAAAAAAATGGTCAAAGTTTTTTTTTTCTCATTATGCACTGTGTGCTGCAGGATTTTTTTTAGACTGTGCACACTGACCACATAGACCTATTCTTTCATATGAAGGCCTACCAGCTTTCTCCCACTAGATTTGAGGCCGCTAGAATTTATGAGTACTAGTACGTCAAAAACCCCTACGCGTAAGACATACTAGTACGACGAAAACCCTCAAAGGGTTAAAAGATAAAGAATCTAACACAAAGTGGGAGTTGTCACAGTTGCTCTTTGCTAATGACACTGTGCTTTTGGGAGATTCTGAAGAGAAGTGGCAGAGGTTGGTTCATGAGTTTGGTAGGGTAAGTAAAAGAAGGAAGTTAAAAGTGAATATAGGAAAGAGTAATGTGATGAGGATAACAAAAAAATTAGTTAATGGATTGGACATCAGATTGGAGGGAGAGAGTATGGAGGAGGTGAATGTGTTTAGATATTTATAAGTGGACATGTCAGCAGATGGGTCCATGAAGGATGAGGTGATCTTAGAATTGACGAGGGAAAAAAGGTGAATGGTGCACTGAAGAGTCTGTGGAGGCAAAGAACTTTATCCATGAAAGCAAAGAGGGGAAAGTATGAGAGTGTAGTTATACCAGTGCTCTTGTATGGGTGTGAGGCATGGGTTGTGAATGTGGCAACAAGGAGAAGTCTGGAGGCAGTGGAGATGTCATGTCTGAGGGCAATGTGTGGTGTGAATATAATGCAGAGAATCCATAGTATAGAGATTAGGAGGTGTGGGATTACCAAAACTATTATCCAGAGGGCTGAGGTCGGGTTATTGAGATGGTTTGGACATGTAGAGAGGATGAAACGAAATAGAATGACTTCGAGAGTATACAAATATGTAGTGGAGGGAAGGCAGGGTAGGGATCGGCTTAGGAAAGGTTGGAGGGAGGGGACTTCCAGCAAGCTTGTGTGAGTGTGTTAAACAGGAGCGAAGGGAGACAAATGGTTTTTAGGACTTGATGTGCTGTTGGAGCACAAGCAAGGTAACATTTATGAGGGGATTCAGGGAAACTGGCAGGCTGGACTTGAGTCCTGGAGATGGAAAGTACAGTGTCTGCACTATGAAGGAGGGGTGTTAATGTTGCAGGTTTATAACTGTAGTGTAGGGGCATCTTTTTTCCCCTTTGGGTCCCAAGATATTTAAAAAATTAAGAGGGGTAAAATATGAGTGCATTTCTGTGATTTGCTTTTGGGTAGCTGCATTTAAATTTTGGGTGTGATGGTGGCAGTTTCCACAGTGAATATTGTGTTTAAATTTTTGGGAAAACATGTTGAAAAACGCCGAATTCTTCTGCCCAAATTACGATTGCCCTCGGGTTTTCCCGGTGATCATCATACAGATACTTCTGCTGTAAACCCCCGATGTAATTTTGGGGTTCAACCCTTTGGTAACCCTGGTGTGTCTTGTGTAAGTGAATGCTTCTGTTTTTTGGGAAGTTCTCCATATGTTAGGAGGGAAAGAAATTTAATTTTGGTCACTTTGTTAAGACGATTAAATTGTCCCTTTGGTGGGGGGGTTAACATGATTTTTGAAAATTTGCTTGAAAAAGAGTTTTTGTAAGGGGAGGTTTTGTAAAAAATTATTTTCCCATTTTTTCTCTTTGTTTTATAGACCAATAAAGGGGTACCCCTAATTTGGAGAATTTTGTTTTTTGGGGTTTTCTTTTTTCTTAGCCCAAACTTCGAGGGGCGGGCATATCCTGATGCGTAAAAGGGGGGGGGGGCCTTAAACTTGTGCTCTTTTTAACCCTTCCCATTGAAGGGTGGGTGCAGAAATAAACTTTGGGTTAAGGGTGAGGGGGCTTCCTAAAAAAATGAAAATTTAAATCCTGACCCTTATTTGTGGTGATGAGGACATCGAAAAAGTTGATTTTTTCCCCATTAAAATTTAAACAAAGACTGGTCAAAAACTTTTCCAGCTTCGTTCCATGTATAAAAAACATCAACTTTTTTATTACCAGATAAAGTCGGTTTTTGGTTTTAAATGCGGAAAGGAGGGTTGTTTTATACTACTCACAAAGTATACATGGATACTGTAAAAATACCACCCTTTCCCACAAAACCACCCCCCCAAAACCCCAAAAATTTTCTCCAGTGAAAACCCAAAAATAAAACCCAAAATGTTCCCCAAAATTAATGTATACCAAAAAAAAAAAGGGGCCTACTTGCTACCATCTCCAGCTCATAAGACTCCCATCCCCAGGGACCCTTTTTTGGGAGGGGGGGTAGATGGCAAAACCAGAGGCCTAGCTTCTCCCACGACCCCGTGAGGGGGGGGAAATTTGGGGGCCTGGGCCGGGGGAAAATTTTGGTCCCAAAAAATGAGAGGTATTTTGTACCTCCCCCCAGGGGGGTTTAAGTCTCGAACTCTCCCCAGATAGGGACCAAAAGGCCGGGCCCACCACTATTTGGGAAAAAGACCCGGGCCGGGAAAAATCCCGGGCGAAAAAAAAAAAAAAAAACTATATCAAACCATTTTGGTCTTCGTTTCGCCCAATGGGGAAAATCACGTAAAGGTTTTTTTTGGGTTACCCCAAGGAAATTTATACATTTTTACCCCAATGATTTTTTTGTGTAACGTTTATGTAAAACCGTCCCAAAAAACCCCCTTTCTGCCCAAATAGGGGGTTGGGGTAGCAGGAAAACTTAACTTTAAAATTTTAAATTACCATGAAATTAAAAGGGGTTTCTATTGTTCCTAAAAGCCCCAATTTTTAGGGGAAACGCATTTCCCTCAAGGAAGGTTCCTTGACGTTGGGACACATTTGATCAAGGAAATTTGGATCTTGTTTCCAGTTCCCTAAATTGGGGCCTGAATTTTTTCCATCCTCTCCCCATGCGCTAAATTTCCTAGGGTTTTTAACGCCCCCCATGTTTAAATTTTAAAAAATATATGAAAAGGCATTTCGGGGCAAATTTTAAAAAAAACCTGTTGAAAAAGGTATTTATACAAACATTCCCACAAGCAGCAACAATCTAGCTGATAAGGCAATCAACCATTTTTTTCCAGCCTCTGAAGAAATAATTTATTAATTTTTAATTATTTTTATTATTTTTAAATTATTATTATTATTTTTAAATTTTTTAATTTACAACTAAGAAAAATTATAAAATATTTTTTTTAAACGAAAAACCGCAATAAGAAACATTTTTCCCTAGAGTAACCTCTGGAAACTTGGGTCAAAATGTAATACCGCCAACACAAATTTTGTTTACGGTGCTGGGAAGGTGCGGAATTATCTTGACATTTTTATGGGGGACCATTGGAAAGGGTACCTTGATGCTCCCTAAAACGGCTCTTGAGCCGGGGAATTTGGGGGGAAATTCTCCACCTCCGTGGTTTTGACATTAAATTACTTCCCCAATCCCCCTTGGTTTTCTGAATGACGGGTGGTACTTTTTAAAATTTGCCCCCTAAGGGGAAAAAATCTGATATTTTGGGGTTAAAACCTTTAGTTATTTATTTATTTTAAATTATAAAAATAAAAATATATTATATAATATAATATATATATTTTTTTTTAATAATATAATAATATTAAAATAATATAATATAAAAATTTTAAATTATATAATAAAATTATATTATATATTTTAAAATATATATAATATAATATATATATATATACTATATAAAAAATATATATAATAATATAAAAATAAAATTATTTTAATAAAAATTGTAATAAACCCAAAACCTGCAGAACCGAACTTATATAAAAAACTTCCCTTTAAATAAAGTTATTGGGTTAGTAAACCACCCCAAAAATTCCAGGGAGGTTTTTTAACCACCTGTAAACGGGGGTTGGTTTTAAAGGTTTTTTGGGTAACAGGTGCAAAAAAAAAAAAAAATTATCATGCATGTAACGGGGAAAAAATTTAAACCTGGGAAAAAACCCCGGGAAAAAGGGTTTATTTCCTTTAGGGGGCCCTTTTTTTTCCCTTAAATGTTTTTTGGGAAACCTTTTAAAATTTTTTTTTGAAACGTTTTCTGGCAGGTTTGATAACTTTTTCTGCCCTAAAGAACAGTATTAGGTAGGTAAATTTTTTGCAAATTTCTTCATGAAAATTTAGTTTTACCTTAACTCCCTTTTTCCTCTTCAGTGGGGTTGTTTTTATTTTGCGGGGGTGCTAAGCAGTTTTTTGGGTTTAAAAGATAAGATAAGATTTCATTGGGATTTTTAACCCCCCTGGGGGTTACCCAAACCCAGGATAGCCCAAGAATGTCATTGCATCATCAAGGACTGTCTAATTTTAATTCCTTTGGGGGTCCTCAATCTTGTCCCCCAGGATGCGACCCACATCAGTTGACTAACACTCAGGTCCCTTTTTTGCCACTAGGTGAACAGGGAAACAGGTGAAAGGGAAAACCGTGTTAAAAATTTTTTCCCCCCCCGCTGGGAATCAAACCCCAAGCCCTCCGTTTTTGAAGGGGGAGTTTTTACCACAAGGAAAACCGGCCCCCAACCAAGTATAATTAAAACGATTTTTGGGGAAAATTTAAAGAATTGTCTTGCATAGTAACTTGAAAAATTACTAGGAAAACCCCCAAAAAAGTCAATTTGACTTATTTCCAGTTTGGGGCTATCGTTTTAAAAAATCCCCTCATTACAAACCAAACCAACAAAACAACTTTAAAATTTTTGAAGCAACTCCTAAAAAATATTATATAAACCTTGAGTCTATTACATCTGCTTTCCATGAAATGTTTTTTGTTTAAACCCCTTTAAAATTGTAATCCTTATTTTTATGTGCAACTTAAAGTTTAAAGCTTTTTAAAAACCCTCCACCTTAAACGCCCGCTTAGTAAAAAATATAAAGAAAAAGTTTTAAATTAAAAAATTAAAACCACTTTTAAATCTTGTCTAGACAAAAGTATAGTTATTATGTACTAGATTAGTTTTCCCCAAAAATGCCCCGGCATGTTTGTGACTTTTTTTGTAAAAAGTACTTTAACAAATCAGAATTGTAAATACAAAATTGAACCCTTTGCAAAAAAAAAAATCTTTGCCCTTTTGGCCTTAAATCATTTTGTCAAATTTTTTTTTTTTTTGGGGGTTATCCACTTAATTTCCCACATATATACATGTATTACTATTTATGAAAAGAAAATTGGTAATTTGTTTTTTATGTTGTATACCAAAAACCTAAAAAAAACTTAAAATGCAGCTTAACTATTAGATAGGGGAAAAAATCCGTCACCGAAAAAATAAAAAAAATATAATAAAACTAAACTAAACGGGAAAATTTAAAAAATCCCAATGAAAAAAAGTAAAAAAAAAAAATTCAGTAGGAAAAA